ACGATGACTGCGATGACCACAACGACGACCACGACGGCCGCGATGACCACACGACCACGATGACTGCGATGGCCACAGCGACCACCACGACCAGACGACGAAGCTTCAGAGTCGTTTCCCCAATGTCGTGGCAGGGTCTAAATGGCCCGAGATGGCCCGAGTAATAGTGGCCTTGTCAGGAATCCACGTCTCACGTATTGTCGAGTGTTTGGACGGCAAAGCAACCCAAAATGGCGCTTCCCGACGACGTAACTAGAGTGATCCGCCGACCACACCGTTCGGGGAAGAAAGGGGCCTAAGCCTGGAACACCGAACCGCCACTACAAAGCTTGAGCTCTAAATTCAACCGGGAACAGAACACGAAGCCGTAAATCTTGAATACTAATATAGAAGCTTCAATAATTGCCGTCACTATTTCGGAGGGTGCCCTTCTACTTGTATGTATACTATACCCCAGTACCCGATTCTAGGTATTCAGGCCCCTATATTACAGAAATCTTGTAGAACCCTGACCGTAACCCTTAAGAGGAGCTCTTTAAAGGAACCCTAAATCCTAATTACCAAACCCCTTTCTGAACCCCAAACCCCGAGCTCCCGAGCCCTAAACCCTAAACCCTTAACCCTAAACCCTGAAACCCTAAACCCTAAGCCCTTAACCCTAAACCCTGAAACCCTAAACCCTAACCCCTGAAACCCTAAACCCTTAACCCTAAACCCTAAAACCCTAAACCCAAAACCCCTCATAGATCCCCTTATGGAACCCTTATAGATCCTTTTAAAGGAACCCTAAACCCTAAACCCCGAGAGCTCCAGATCTCGGTCCCCAGGAGGGCCGCATTGCGAAGCTTCCGCAGTGTGGCGCTGCCGCCCGGAGCTCAGCTTGCTTGTACGTTTAGGGTTTTAGGGTTTAGGGTTTAGGGTTTAGGGTTTAGGGTTTAGGGTTTAGGGTTTAGGGTTTAGGGTTTAGGGTTTAGGGTTTAGGGTTTAGGGTTTACGGTTCTAGGGTTTTAGGGTTCCAGGCTTTAAGGGCCTAGGGTTGAGGGTTTTAGGGGTTTAGGGGTTTAGGGGTTTAGGGGGTTTAGGGTTTAGGGTTTTAGGGTTTTAGGCTTTTGGGGTTTAGAGTGGCAGGTCCAGGGCCTAGGCTTAGCTTGGCTTCTGAGGTTTAGACATCCAGGTTTACACAGAGTAGAGGGGCCTGAACAGACAGCAGAGTGGTCCTCGAACACAGGATTCGGAATGCATCCGGAGAAATCGTCTTCTTTTCCCTGGGTAGAAAAGAAGTTGTCCTACGGGTCTTAGCTGCTTTGCCGTATTTGAAGTCCCTTCCGAGGCCGTCAGTTTGTATGCGGACTTTGTCATCACCGGTTTCGCGCTCCCGATGTGGTTGAAAAAGTGGTTGGATGACAACTTTCTCAAGCAGACGATCAAAGACGCCATGAAAGAAGGTGGCCTTCCGTGCGTGAAAGTGGTGGGGGCTATGTTGGACCCCGGATTCCGTACCCGTAGACGCCACAGACACTAAGAAGACACCCAGGTGCGCAAGCCATGATCGAGTTGATGTCCGGTCCGGCGAAGTGTGCCCCACTTGTAAACACAGTCACGCAGACGGTCACCGCAGCGGCCGTTGAAGCAGGGAACCGCATTGCGAACCTCATACCCGGACTGACTCTGAAGTGGGACTTCCTGTCGATTCTCTTGCTGAAGCCTCAGAAGCTCTTCTGCAAGGAGATCTACACAACACCGAATTTCGAGAACTCCCCCTGCGCGGATCAGCTCGGGTGCGGGACAGCCGGCCAGGGCCCACCAGATGAATCGGAGGTCGAGACTGTGCCGCCGGAGCAAGTGGATCCGCCGACTGTAGAGAGGCCGCCAGGTGTTCCCCCTCCTTCATGCGGCAGTCTTAGAATGGGTGACCGGTTTATTGAGCTCGGCAAGTTCCGCATCGCCGAAATCGATGCGAGCCACCTGTCGATCTCACACCAGGAGATTGCCTCGTGTAGGCATCCTAAACCATGTCAGGCCTAAACCGCGGCCTGCCCTGTCTGGTAAAGGGCGCTGTTTCAGGACACTCGGAAGGTCGCTGCAGTGTGGCACAAAGACGGAAATGCCTGGCGCACCCACAAATCTGACTGGGGCAAGTACGATGCCTGGGGTCGGAGCTCGGGTTTGGAACTTTCGAGCAGCACCGAAATCTACGTTGACGTTAAGACTCCCTCAAGCCCCCTGAACCCTGGGCCACAAAGCCCCGAAGGAGTCCTGGGAGTCCGGGCAAAACAGTCCAGTTCGGCTTCGAGTTTATCCAGATTGGCAACTTCCGTCTCGGGGCCGT